TCGTTGTCAGTCTATTGTTGTGAAGTGGGGCTACCTTTTGAGGTACGACTCAGCACGAGTTTGTCTTGAGAAAGTTCCACAGCAGGATCCGATGACAAAGTACCCCCCGCACGATAACTAGGTGGAGCCTTTGTTCGGGAATTGGCGATGGGCCTCATGGACGGATTCTTAAGCCAGCAAAGGAGTGCGCTCTTGAGTGTAGACCCATTCTCACCATGCACCCCGAAGGTCCCAGGCCCTGAGTTTCAGTATTTGGTGGTCCCTTCTCCGGGCCCTTCTCATGAGGATCTCATTTAGTATACCATGCAATGTTTAGGGGTGTTTAGGCTTCTATATTCGGATCCCTGGCTTTTGCAACTCTCTTCATGACTAGAAGAGGGAAGCAAAAGCAGTTGAGCAGTTCAACAACTATATGTTTTATGTCAAGCATATCCTACGCCCTTGCCACAGACCTTAGGCCCTAAACCTCTCAGCCACAAGCCCTCCTAGATCTTCCAGTGGGGGTGTTGGGCGGAAAGCGTGAATTCACCGTATGTCACAGGTTGTCAGAAAGTGCTCGGCAAGGCTGAGGCAAGATTTCCCAACTGCGTTGCAGCCCGGCATCTCTACACTGATTATGGACTCTAGGATTTGGGGGGTTGGGGTTCAGGCCTTACAGGGGTCATATACCGAGGGCCATAAACCCCAGAGCCCTTACAAGGCCCGAACACCCTTCCAAAGCTGCAGAGGGCCATTTAGTGGCTCCATGGGCAAAGGGTCCATGTCAGGTTTTTTCTTATGTTTCGGAAAAGGTGGATCCTATGCACGAAGAGCTGTTAACGTGTCATAATCTTAGTCCGTGGCTCTCTTTCTCGCGATCTAGGGGTTTAAATCTGTTAAAGTCTACAGTCGTTCCCGAAACCCCAAGCGGTTGGGCCCAAGCCCTAGAAACTTAAACTCAACTCGAGATGCAGGTTTAGGCTAGGTATCCCGGATCAGCTACAATGTCACTGTAATATACCAAAACCTGTCATACTACAATATTGTAAGAGCACCCGTCGTCTCCACAGTTCTTGCATGGCCTTCCGAGAGTTGAGGCGCGGATTGCTGAGGGGCGGGGCGCGCGAAGCTTTTAAGCTGAGGGTATAGGGTTCATGACGTTTTAGGGGGTTCAGACTTTAAGGGTTCAGGATTGAGGCTTTAGGGCTGAGGGGGTGGGGTTGGGGGTATGTAGGGAATTTTGTTCGGTCTATATGTGACGATGACGGTTTCGATGTAGGCCAATGTGGTCATGGCTGTCGGGCAGCAGCCTGCACACCGAGCCTTTACCTGAGAGGGCTCACAGTCCTTGAAACCGACTCGGTTCAACTCTTCTTGAAGCTTGACAAGGTCTCGGGTTCAGGTTTGGGCTTCAGGGTTTGGGGTTTTCGATTCATGACCGGGGCTTTCCAAAGCCGACTGTTCATCTGCAGAATCGTGTTTCGCAGGTTCCAAGCATGCTCACACGTTCCGATGCCCCCTGGACCTTAAACCTCTGAAGCCTGACCTTGCGTTTTTAACGGCTTTGGGGCTTTTGCTTAAAGGAACTATTTTGGATCCTAGATCGTGACATCTACTTCCTAGAGGACTTACAACAAATTACAATAAATTGGGGCCCTGGGCCTCTCACACCCGGGGCCACTTCGCGCCCCTCGCTCAAAGACGTGCTGCCATACCTGGGAGACTAGCCCCAAGTCGCAGGAAGAACCCGCAGCCGCAAGCCCGGAGCCCCAAACTTCGAAACAAAGACTCGGAGATCCCAAATCTCAAACTGTGAAGTTTCCACCCTAGCTTGTATACCTTACACTCGACATCCCTAAGCCTTGATCCTCATGAAACCAACCGGGATGCAGAGTTAAGGACTCAAGGGTTAAAGCGGTGTGTCACTTGTTTGGGCTTGGGATTCGGGGGCTGAGGATGGCGGTGTCTACAGGGCTATAGGGTTACAAAAGGAGGGGTTTTCGATGGGGCTTCTCGCGATTCGGGCTTGTCACGCTTTCGGATATGACAATGACTGCTGTTCTGACTCAACAACACTGCGACAGGGCATTGTGAAAGCCCTAGACTCTGAATCCCGAAAACTGACACGCTAAACCTTCAAAACCCCTAGCAGAGCATTGGGAAAGCCGGGTTCTTCTCGGTGGTGACGACGCGAGAAAAGAGGCTCTCCCGTGAGCGGCACCGAATCCTTGAGGGAAGATCAGAGGTTTTGGGCGCAGTACTCAGGGCTCCAGGGCTTCGGGGCTTAAGGGGATAGGATTCAGGGTTTGGGAATTGGGGTGTGGGATTGAGGGTCTAGAGACTCGGATTCCGGTTTCAGGGTTGAGGATGCAAAGGCAAGCGATATCCGTGACCCATAACATGCTGAAAGCATCTGGTTAAGGACGACATGCATCCCACTGACTCGAGAAGGTGCAACCGCTGCAAAGTCACCGGTAGAAACTCCGAAGAACAGACATGATGCAAACAAGTTCACAGTGCACATCGTCACAATTTACCCTGTGTATATTCGAAATCAAGAGATCGTAAGCTCTTCGATGTTCAATAGCAACAGTTTCGTTGGCGGGAGGTCTCGTTATCACTTTGCTAGAGGGCCATCTTGCTTGCTGCCAGAGATCACATTGCGTGCCTGGACCGCCATTCCCGATCCCTGAGCTCAATCTCTTACACCCGCAGCTGTTGGTGTTGGTAGCTTGGCAGTATAGGCGCCCCGACAGCTTTTGCTGGTGATTGTCCTGGTGTTTTCATCACTACCTAACAGCCTAACAGTTATAGCACTCATAGCAGGAAGTCAGTGATATGCAGTACAAGCAACGGGGAATTCCGGAGGGGGTTGCATGTGCGCAGCATGGCGTGACGTTTCATGCGAGTTGTGAAGTGAAAACTCCATGCTGCAGCCTCATCCCATACGCTCAGCACAACCAGAACCAAAGCGACAACAACGAGAAAACTCTCAGAGACTGGGCAAGCCATGTGCTTAGGAGGCGGTTTGGGACTTTTGCCGACACGTCCCTTCCCCCCAATTACTTTAGCAGTTTCAAGAGCAACCAGAGGCACCGCCAGAAAGCAAGCAATGCTGGCCTTCAGAGTAGTCTCGGCTCCGGCAAATTTTCCGATGCTTCTCCAGAATGTGTGGATCCGGTAGGGGTTATGCTGTTTGAGTTATCTTAGCCTAAGTGAGCCAGCCGCTGAATAAAGCTACTTGCTTCCATGCAAGTCTGTATCCTTTCCTCAGCACCCTCTCGCGCCGAATTGCTTCGAAGTTAGTTTGTGCGTAAGGAGGCAGCTCCAACTAGGACTGGCTGCGGTACAGAGCCGACGAACTTAGATGTGCAATTCACCGTCGAAGGCTTAGAGTACAGACATTCTCAAGGAGGCAATACTCCGAGCCTGGAGCATTGAAGCAAAAAGATGCAAGGCGTACTACTCAAGGGCTCTGTAGGGACCCACTTTGCGAGTCAGACCACAGGTTTGGGGGCTCCAGGCAGACCCTGGCCGAGGGTCCAGGACCCATCAGGAATAAGGTTTTCGGGATATTCTGGCTGTACCCAGATGGAGAAGATCAGACATGCCCTGCAGTATACATACGAAAGGCAAAGCCTTTCAAAGCAAAGTCAAGATACTTTGCTCTTTGCCAGGGTCTTTGCAAATACACTGCTGATTTATCTGAGGGTTCAAAAGACCGAACGAGTCTCATGTCGTCAGATCATCACAGCAAACCCTAAACCATCAAGAGATCCTCAACTAAGAATGTACGTTTTACCTTGCAGGCTGGCCAGGCAAATCACTAGTCATCCTCTCGTAATGCACCTGCCTGTGCATGTTCAGTTGGCTGGCATTCCTGAATATGGTCTGAAGTACACCAGCAGTACTCGGTATATTGCCATGCTGTTCTGCAGGGTTTGTCCATCACCCCAAGACCTGAAGGCTGAGGAGTTTTGCATCAGTCGGAGGCATGTATGTATGTATGTATGTATGCAAGCATGCATGTATGTAGGTATGTACGTATGCACGTATGCGTGTATGTATCTATGTACGTATGTATGCATGCATGCGTTTAGAGTGCAAATGGACAGAGGGCTCATAGATACAAGTGTATAGAAGTGTAAATGTAGTCCCACTCTTTCTCGGGTTTGTACACAATCGCTAGGTGGGCGTATGCCCCAGACTGAAGAAGGGTTCGGCATTCCTGTCGAGACAAAAACCACGAAGACCGGCAGAGAGGTCGTCGGGTACAGCGCTTGCAGGATCCGTGGAACTTTCCCACGTCGGAGAGCAGAATCTGCCTTAAGCATATGCAGACAAAGGGACCGTAGACCGTAAATAACTGCTGGCCAGGGGTACTCATCAGAAGATCGCCCAGTTTGGGACCTTAGTAAAAGAGCAAGAGCATCCCTAAACTTAGTAACCTCACGGAGAACTTGACACAGCTTCTTAACTGCCATACGGCTTGGAAAGCCTATTGACAATGGGCAAAGCCTTACGAAAGACAGGGAAAGGTCCCGACAACTTTCTCTTAGACTTGTCGATTACGACCCACCAGCGCAACAAACATGCTTAGCGCAGGTGCTTGCTGCCTCCTCAGGGTTGAGTGTTTAGGGTTTATTTACGGTTTGAGTGTTTAGGGCTTATTTAAGGTTTGGGTTTGGGATGTTGTGGTTCAGATTCAGGGCTTATGATTGGCCGGCGTTAATGCCCTGAAGTGCTAAGCACCTTATCATGTCTACAGGTAACCTATTGAAACAGTGGAACCCCTAACCACACCTCCGAGCCTCCAGATGTAAAGCGCCAAAGCCCCGAAAGCCCTGACTCCGGGTTTAACAAAAGAACTGTCAAGCGTGTCAAACACCAATGCACTCCCGAACAGCAAATCCTAAAGCTCCAAGCCTAAAATCCTCAACCCTGCACTCTAAGCCTGAAAACGCCTTATATAACCTTTACAGACTTTAAACCCTAAAAAAGGCCCCGCGGCATCTTCTGAGGTCATCGTTGCCTTCCCAGGGCGCGGCCCAAAACCGGCCGGCGCCGCGGCCAGCACCGCGCCCAGGAGTCACTGGGCAAAGATGGGGCATGGAGGTCGAGCAATCTGCGAGATGTTTTGTTCTCGTTTAACTTGGTAATTAGTAAACACATGCGATTACATGTAGGATAAGAATCAGAAAGACATGCAAATAGTATTACAAGAATAGTACAATGACAACAACAATGATCAGGTGAACATGACATAATCGACCATGCATCAACGAATAGGATGTATTTCGGAAAAGGTGTCTCGATTCACCTGTCCTTTTGTTTTTGCTGTACATAGTAAGCGTTGTCGGTTGTTCTGTTCTTTGTCCTTTTGCAATACTTTGTAGTCCGGTTTATATTCCGTATATGGAGTGGGATTACAATAACTACAGGTTGCAGAAGCCTCCTAGCCTAATGCGATGAAACAGTGAACTCCGACCCCCTAAACCCTAAGCCCTCTAAGCCCTCTAAGCCCTCTAAGCCCTCTAAGCCCTCTAAGCCCTCTAAGCCCTTAACCCTAAACCCTTGAGCTCACCCCAGGCACCACCAGGGAATCCCTCGAGCCTGACTAGGCTCGCGTCACCCAAGTCCTTGATGTCCTTGGCTTTTAGGGGTTTAGGGTTTCGAGTGGGTCGTTGCACGTCCTATCTTCGTGCAGGGGCATCGGGGTCCATGTATTTCAGGTGCGGGCTTAGGCTTTGGGGTCAAGATGCTTTCGACCGTGTCTGCCATGCATCGATCCAGTGCTTCGTGGCTTTAGGCCCTTTAGGCGTGTCTCTGGCACAGTCGAGGAGCGTGGTGTGTCGATTTCGGGTCGCATGGTGGCGCAGCTATTTGAATCCCCTGCCCTGAAGCCGCCTTAAACCCAAATCCTATAAGTCTTTAACCCAGAATGCCCTATGGCGGTATGGTAACTCGACAGAAGCCTGTACTGTAAAACTGCGAAAGCCGAAGACCCTAAACCTTAACCCCCTCAATTTATCAATCTGTGTTTGTTTGCCCTCCAAAGGCCGCGGCAGCCGCCAGGCGGCGACGGATCGGACCAAGAGGCTTTCCGTTTCTGGGTTTCCAAGTTTGGGGCTTCAGGGTTTGAAGGAGTTTGGATGTTGGGATTGAGGGAAATCGGATATAGGGCTTTGAGTTTGGGGTTTCGGGCTTATATAGAGTTTAGAGTTTCTGGATTTGCAGCGGGCTCTACAGTAGTAGGGTTGGGCTTCCGTACGGGTCTGCAGGGCTTCAGGGTTCAGCCTTCTGAGTTCTTGCAAGGGTTCTATGCTTAGGGCCGAGTGTGCAGAATTTGGGGAACTTAGGGCTCCGATAATGATGATGGTAAAGATGAGATGGCCAAGAGAGCAATGGCACATGAGCTAAAAGGCGCGGCAACACAAGCAGTCTGTTATTGTTTCTATTGATGATGGGAGTGCATCATCTTTCTTCAGTTCCAGTGCCAGGGTACCAGTTCATTTAAGGTCAGAGCACTTGAGTCACTTGAGATTCCTCTTGTCGGTAGCCCTAAACCCGAAACCCTTAGGCCCGGAGACCCACGACCGAGCCCAAAGCTCTCAGAAGCCTTCGGGCCATTCGGGAATCCCAAAAGCCAGGAATCTAAACCCTAAGCCCTAAGCGCTCAAGGACGAAGCTTCTTCATGCAAAGCGGGCGTAAGAATTGCGATCCTGAACCTTGAACAGACCTGAACCCCAAGCTCCTACATCCCAACACCCTGTACTGCGAAAGTCTTGAGAGCTACCCTACACTCTTAGAGTCTTTCGAGGCAAGCCTTAAAGAACCTCCCAAAGCCAACAGTCTGAAGGAGGTCGCCTCGCCGTACAGCGGCCCGACATCTGCATCGAAGCTGGGGATACTCAGAGGGCTGTGCGTGCGTTGGGGTGGCGGTGTTGGAAGCGTCAGGGTCGGGTTTGTATGGCTTTAGGGTTTGTGGTTTTCGGGTTTGGGGCTTGTGGGGTTTAGGGTGTTAAGTTTCCTTTAAGGGGTTCATTCGCTGCAGGCTTGTTTTGGAGGACTTCGGGTTTAGGTCCGGGCAAGGGGTACGGAATTGAGGGACTCCGGGTGCTGGGGCTTTGGTGGCCACAGCTTGGGTCACCAATTTACAGTCGTTGCGTGCTCGGTTTCGTGGGTCTGGGATCCAGGAGCTTGTGGTGGCTCGAGTGTTCATGGATGCTTCCTTACGTGCGTCCAGGATGAGCAATGTTGGATCACCATCGTTGATAATGAGTCAGTTCTTTTCGGATGAGCATCGGTGTGACTAGACTGACTGGACTCCGCAGTGCTTGCAGCGCTGTTGACCCCATGTTTGGGCATTGGACTTGGGTTTAGGGCCTTCTCACTGGCGTTTGATGGGCGGTCGGATGGCAGCCACGAGCTTTTGCAACCGTCGTTCTGAATGCAGTACATGCTCAACGGGCAAAGCCGTCTCGTCTGATAATAGCTTGGCTTGACCGTGAAAGGCACCTTGCACACACCATAGATCATGGATCGGAAGACTCTGAACCTAGCATCACTGACTCTGGACCACGAGCCCGAAAAGCACACCCTGCACCCCAAACCCCACGGCCTAGAGTGCCCTAGACCTGGAATCCCGAACATGCCTGACTACGACGGTCCTGCAATGACCCCAAAGCTCCTCGAGCCCCAAAAATCCAAAGCCATCTAACACTGCGCGAAACTTAGCCACGAAAATGCCCCGAAGGAACCGACCGAAAAGAACAGCTAAAACTCTTACAGCCCCAAACCCCAAAGCCTGAGGGCCTTCATGGAGTCCTAAAGGGATCCCTACCCCTTGCAGCCCAAAGTTTAGGGGTTAGGGGGTTTAGGGGTTTAGGAAGCAGGAACCCCCGGAAAGAGATCACCAAACCTGTCGAGGGCCCTGGCAGCGAGCCTGGCCGCTCCGAAAGCGTCCCGCTCGGCTGAAGGCCCTTTTTGCTGCGAGCCCTATAAACTGAAGCCCCAAACACTGAAATCAAGCATTAAACCGTAACATAAATCGACAACCCTAAACCTCAAATTGAACATCTCAACTTTCAACCTTGTAGGCCCAAAGTTGGAAACCGTGAGGTCTGCGGTCCAAAGCCAAAAGTGGTTGAAAGCCAACGCGGTGTTGGGACTTGGGCTCTCAGGTCCAGGATAGTGCGATTCAATCGGGTGTAGAACTATAGTTACTATAGTGTTCAAAAGGGGTCATGGTTCAGTGTCTCGGCTGATAGTTGGGTTGTTGGGATGCTGTTGCATGATCGTACAGCTGCCATTTCGGCAACAGAAGCACTCAAAGGCACCCAGCGGCAAGTCTGAGAGGCTTCAGGGGGGGGGGGTTGTCATCACTGTCGTATCCCCTCCTCCTCGTACCCTTCATCAATCTCTGGCTTCTCGCTGCAACGCCCACTTTGTCCGAAGCATTGACGGAGACGGCCAGAGGTGCAACAAAATAGCACTGGTGCAGCCAATGCTGCAGCTCAGGGGAATCAAATCTGGAAAAGGGTCCAATCAGAGGAGGAGGTGAGATGTTGTGAGTTATAAGGCCATGATCTGCCGTACTGTCTAAGCCGAAACACTTCGAGCAACCGCAAACCCTGAAACCCTGAAGACCACTGAGCAAACCGCTCTTCAACAAATGTCTTCAGCAAAACATTGAACAAGTAGTATTGTGATTATAAGCTACACGCATACCAACCCTGCGGCCAGCTACTACCACACGCAGCAGCTATAACAAGAACATTCGTAACAACAATGACAAAAACAGCCCGTCCGATACTTCTGCACCCTCAGCCCGCAACTTTCACAGCCCTGAACCCAAACACACTGAAAACCCTGAACCCTCGATTCCAAAAGCCCTCACCAACCCCAAACACACCAGGCGATACACCCTCCAGACGAATCCTTCCGAAAACGAAACCGCATCCAAAGCAATTTATAATGCCCCAGATAGAAAGTTAAAAGCACGAAACGACTGTAGCGAGCCCACCTGTTCTAAATGCTCAAAAACCCTACAACCTCAAAAGCACTGTAGCCCTAGCATCCGTTTTAAGCAGACTGCTGGAAGCGCTGGATTCACAGAACACCCCAGACCCGAAACCCAAGATGTTGGAGTTTTCTGACATCGTCTTCAAGTTTTTGAAGGTTCCTGAGACTGGGGAGCTTGCAGATCAAGGGTCTTTCTTTAGGGGTGGTGGCAACTGCCGGCTGTTGGACATTCGCCTTAGCTGAGTATTTCACACTGTGAGAATCAACGTGCAGTACGTTCCTGGTCATGCATAATGGGGTTTCATCCACCAGCAGTACGAGGCCGTGGTGGGGTCTGCATTCTGCCCAATGCCACCCTCCCATGTGGCAGGCATGGCGAGCGCCTCCGTGCGCGACGGCTTTCTGAGCGCCGCTCGGCTGAGATCGCATTGGGTTTCCACTTGAACACTGAACCTTCAAGTTCGTGCAAGGTGAAATGTTTTCAGGTTAAGGACTCAGCTTGAATCTGCCCGGATATAAGCACCTTGAACCCCAATTCCAAAGCCTCAAAGCCGCAAACCGCAAGCACTGAAGCTCTTAAATTAATCCCAAATCCCTAAACCCTGCAAACCCGAATCCCTAAACCCTACAAACCGCCCGTTGATCGGCCCCAAATAGCGAACCTTGTTTCAGGTCTCTGGCCTCGATGGCGGGTCCTTGGACCTTCAGGTGCAGCGAAGGGAGCTAAGAGCTTTAAAGGATTTGCCATCAGTGCTAGTCCTGAACGGGCTGTTTTGCCAAAATTGTGTTATATTCACCGAAACGTGTTGCAAACGTCAAGGCCCCCACGTTGTGTGATGCTTGGTTTGAAGTGTCGGGGGCTTGGTGGAAGGTTGCAGGGCTTGGGGTGCGAGTCTTTGAATGCACCCTCAAGCCTTGAACCCTGCTGGCGGTGGTCGTAAGTTCATGCTCCTTTATTCAGGCAACCTCCCAACCCTCCGCCATGAGACTAATCCCCGGAAAGCCCGACCTTCCCTGGGAAGCAGCAATCAAATTTATCTGCATCCTTAGAGAAAAGAGGGATGTCTTAAGTTTGGAATAGAAGCCGCTTATTATTCACCAGCGAAAGGCTCAAGCACCTGAGCATAAATAGCCTAACCCAGAACAATAGAAGTTTGATAATCCCCCCCGCCCCAATGCCTTAAACTCCGAACCGTAAACCTCGAAGGCCTACACCCCTAATCCTAAAGCTCTCAAACCAAAAAATTTAAAGCCCTCGTTCCGGAAGTCTTTTGAACCAACGGCAATGTTCAAGGCCGAAGTCCTTCTTCGCCTGCACCAGACGCGCTAAACAACTACTCCTTCGATTTCAGAGCCTTTTCTTAGCACAGAACTTTCTAGCTGTCCAAGCCCGAATCCCTAAACCCCGAGATCCTACGTCCCCTTTCGACCCCAGAACAGACTGTACATCACAACTACAAGAAACCCGGCCGCCAGGGGCTCCTTCTCGAGGGCCTCCGGGATAGCCTTGCGAACTTAACACCGGCACAGGCCTGGAGTCTGAGGTTTAGGGCTTACCCAGAATAGTAGTTCCTTGTTGGGATTACCTTATAGGGTTCTATATATGAACCCCCAAAAAGGAACTACTATGGAGCCTTAGGGTAGGTTTAGGGTTAGGCATCCGGGTTCATTGTTGAGGGAGTTTAAGGTCAAATGTGTAGCGTACCGACTTGGAGGATTTGAGGCAGTGTTATGAGGTTAAGGGCCCAGTGAAATGAAGGACTCAGGAATGTGCTTAAGAAATACGATTTTCAGGAGATGCTTGAGGTCACCCGTCGTCGTTTGAGTCTTCCTCGCATAGACCGCCTTTGGTCTTTAGATAGGGTCCAGAATGCGACCTATCCAACTAGTAAGGACTGCCTAGCAGCCTAGCATCAGCTGTTGTTGGCCCCACCAGCCATGGCCGCTTCCCGAATCTGAGGCTAAACAACAGGTGTCTCTTTCTGGCATCCCGAACCGGGGTCCACCGAAGTTCCGAGGATTTTCCAGTCACCTCTTCCTGGGCTGGTCATGTCATTCCGCAATGATCTACGAGCTCAGCATATGGGAAGGGTAGCAGTTTAGGCGGAACCCCCCGACACCCGAACACCCGAAGCCACACAAGTCTCTGCGAACTCGGTCAGCTCATGGCGGCTGGCGCCCAAGCTTCGATGGAGCAGGTGCGCTGACTTCTGACATTGCGGTTTCTGGAATTCGTTTTTGGGCTTTCAAGGTGTCTGAGCTGTAACCACCCCTATGCAGCAAGTGTGTGCCGCGTGATTTCCAGCTGGGGCATGATGAGTCTAATGTCACCGCTTTAACAATCTGATGAAGGATACCTGCTTGGCTACGCGGTACTGGCTCCTGCAGGAAATGTTGGGAAGGTTGTGGTTTCACTTGACCTTAAGGGAGTTTATTGCGGGGGCGGGGCCTGTTTTGAGTTGTCGGGTTTGGGGGATTCATGTGTTTTTTGGATTTCGGTGTGAGCGTCTATTTCGACTTGAGGGTTTGGGCATGTTTCGGGGGTTCTTGTGCTCGGGATATGCTACTGCGATGATACATGTAGTAATCTTGCCGGGTTCCGGTCCCTTTAGTTGTCTCAGGGTGGCGTAAACTAGGGTTCATCGTACTCAAATCAGAGCCTTCTGTACCTTAGCCCCGAACTCAACCCTGAACCCACAAGAGCCTAAACGTCGAATCCCGATACAGAAGCCGGAATAAGTAGAATAGGGGTTTCGGAGTGCATGATACTGTATGCGTGCAGCGGCGACAATGTTCTTGGGAAGTCTTACTCCGACCCTATATCAAGCCCCCCCAAACTGCAAGCCCTCGAACCCCAAACCATCCCCAAACCGTCGCACATGAGGCCACAGAGACTGCCGAGTCTTCGGCACCTCGACGAGTGCCGCGGAAACGGCCCTGAAGTCGAAATTCCCGCGAATGGGTGAGAAAGGGATTCTGAGAGAGTGTTTATACCATTTGTAAACTGAAGCTGAGGTTTGTTGCTTTCATGATTTGTAGTGTCTACGCCCTACAAGGCCTCGGATTGGTTTGAGTGTGCCAGGGTCTGAGAGGATCGCGGCATTTTTGTTCCAGTGTTTCGGTAAGGCTGTTGAAAGCATGCTAGGGGCTTTTATCTCAAGTTCGCTCTGGGGTGTATGTTCTCAACTGATCTCAACTGTAGGATTCGAAGTTTCTGGTCAATGCAGCCTATTTCCGACTCTCGGGTTTAGAGAAAAGGTTGTCAGACGCGGGCAGGAATCTCGATTTCGGGATTAGCCAATTGTCTTAGATGTAGCCCGAGCGGAATTGCCATCAGCTTGCAAAGAGCTTTCGTCATGCCAGACAGCCAAAGCAGCTCGCCAGTAAATGAGCATCTTAAGCAACCGATAAAAGAATAAGTGCGCATACAGCAACGAGTAGTCATTAGCACGATGAAAACAGGGTTTCCAGCTTTGATCCCTGAAGCTCGAGCAGGACTTTCAGGGACCAGGAGTAGAGGGACTTCTGGACACTGATTCCGCTATGGACCTTACATCTCAAAAAAGTCAGGTACATGTGCAGGTGTATTTGCTGCTGTAGCCTTGAACCCTCAAGGGGATCCAAAACTGACTCCCGGTCCATACGAACGGCACGAACCTGCTACTGCGCTTCTGAGTACCGCGTTTGCTAGTAGCAACCAGTATGGTCTGATATCTTGCTGCGTGTGACTGTGGAAGGATTTTGGGTTTCGGTCGTACAGTTTAAGCATGAACCTTTGTTATTGCACCCTCAGAGCATGTTACATGTTCTGTTGACCGGATCAAGCGCAAGCTTTCCAGCACCTGCGATGCAGTCTGTCGTACTTTTGAACATGTTGAACTACTCTCACTGCTACTGCAGCGGTCTACTTGACATTCTTAGGCATATCTAGTGAGAGCGTCATTTTTGATGCTAAAGTACTGCTACACTCAATCTTGTGATGGTGACAGCGCCAGAGCCGTATGGGTGTGGGTTTCAGAGTATAAAGCCAAACCTGCTCATGGCGATCGCAAGACTCGTCGTGTTGCAGGCACGCAAGGTTTTCGGGTTGATCGTTTGGCAAATTTGGGGGCCTGATTAAATGACCTATGCTATTTCTGGGGGGTTCCTTATTTCACTTTTCGTAGAATCCCCACATTGCATAACTGCGTTTGGATCAACTTGGGGTCCCGGGCTGAGACATCGGCCACGCATATCTTCACGTTGTGTCTTCGATCAGAGCTTTCCTGCTGTCATATCATCGCCAATGACCTCAACTTGCAGGCAAAAGCCTCCGTCATTGTGCGGGCTAGAAACGAGTCGAGTAACAACCAGAAGTGTGATTCAGTTGCAAGAGGGAAGGTGCAATCATGGCGGCAGAAGGCATCGTCTAGCCTCACCAGCATCAGCACTACCATCGTCACCAATCCCTTCATGATACCCTAAACCCTAAGCCCCAACCAGTGTCAACTTGTCAGCATCGCCCCTGAGTTACCGACTTTTTATCCGAAATGCTTGGGTACGCACCAGTCTCCGTGCCGTTGCCCGAACCCCAAACCCCAAACCCTAAGCAAGCCCTCATGCCCGAAGCCATGAAGCCGGGAGCGTGTGCACCTAGCAGCAAGAACACAGGCATTCTGCTTGCTGGCGGCAAACGAGCTCATCGACTATGACTCAAATTGCCCAGCATGGGCCGCTGAGGGACTGTGTGCAGCTTGTCCTACATTAGAAACTACATGTCAAGCAAGGCTTATTAGTTTCATTCGGGCTCTTAGGGTTTTAGAGTGTTTAAGGTCGGGCCTTTTTGTTTGCTTAGTGTGAGATTCTAGGGTCCAGGATTGAGTTGGTAAACACGTGTCGATAGAAGGATGCTCGTATTCACAGGTCAGAAGTTCCAATGTCTTCCTATGCCAGTGCCCCGTCAAGGGAATCAACAACCATGGCTTTCTGCATAATTGATGTTCGAGGGAGCTCAGCATTTTCACATCTTCAGCTCTAGTCTGCTCTGCCAGCTGAGGACACAGAGCCCGAGCGTCGCTCCGACTACTTTGTTCTGGCAGACTCATGGATTTGGACTTAGGAGTTCCGGCCTCTAGTACTGGGTTTGGCTGGGTTAGGGTGCAAGGGTTTTGGGTGTAGGGTTAGCGCTTCAAGGAGGTTTGGGCATTCAAGATTGAGGGTTTGGAGGTTTACCGTCTTGAACATGTTCGACATTGATTGTTTTTGAAGCTTCACTTCTTGCCAGTGTCTTTCGAAAGAAAACTAAGGGTTCAGAGCTTAGCGCTTTAGGGTGACGGGTGAGTGTGTCATTTTTTTGGAGGATGTGTGGGGCATTGCTCGTCAGACAACGCTAGGCAACAGGCGCCGCAGAAAGCATCTGCTTTTGTACCCTCGACACTGCGTACGTATGATGTTTCTATGATTGTGGCTCCATCCAGTATTGCACGCCAGCGTGCTTCACGACAAGCCTTGAAGGCTCTAAGCCCTCGAATTCCCAAGAGCTATCCCATGCAGCAAAGTACCATCTACCTACAACTCCCCGAAAGCCCAAACCCTAAACTCCCGCTCTCAACTCACAAGTCTAGCACCTACAGACCTACAGCTACTAAAAGCAAAACACAGCCAAGACGCGACGGTTTCTGGTTAAGGGCACTTTCAAGTAGAGCTGTAGACTTGAGAGTTGAGTTTCAGTTTTTGTGGGGTTTGGATTAGCATCGATTGTCCAGGTTCTCATCGGTGTTTGCACGAGTCGTCATCACTCCCGACACAGCTATCGACCCTGGTGCATCTCTCTCGGTAAAGAAAACAGCAATGGCAGTCCAAACTCTACACCCCAAGAAAGTCCCGGCGCCAATATGTAAAGCCACAAGGCGCGAAAGTATTCAGAAGCAGGAGGAGAGAGCAGCAGCAGTAGCAGTGGCGTTGGCAGTGGTAGTGGCAGGGGCAGCGGCAGCAGACGCAGCAGCAGCAGCAGCAGCAGCAGCAGCAGCAGCAGCAGCAGAAGTAGTCGCAGTCGTAGTCGCAGTCGCAGTCGCAGTCGTGGTCGCAGCAGCAGCAGCAGCAGGAGGAGGAGGAGAAGTAGTAGTAGTAGTAGTAGTAGTAGTAGTAGTAGTAGTAGTAGTAGTAGTAGTAGTAGTAGGAGTAGGAGTAGGAGTAGGAGTAGGAGTAGGAGTAGGAGTAGGAGTAGTAGTAGTAGTAGTAGTAGTAGTAGTAGTAGTAGTAGTAGTAGTAGTAGTAGTAGTAGTAGTAGTAGTAGTAGTAGTAGTAGTAGTAGTAGTGGTAGTGTAGTGGTAGTAGTAGTAGTAGTAGTAGTAGTAGTAGTAGTAGTAGTAGTAGTAGGTAGTAGTAGTAGTAGTAGTAGTAGTAGTAGTAGTAGTAGTAGTAGTAGTAGTAGTAGTAGTAGTGTAGTAGTAGTAGTAGTAGTAGTAGTAGTAGTAGTAGTAGTAGTAGTAGTAGTAGTAGTAGTAGTAGTAGTAGTAGTAGTAGTAGTAGTAGTAGTAGTAGTAGTAGTAGTAGTAGTAGTAGTAGTAGTAGTAGTAGTAGTAGTAGTAGTAGTAGTAGTAGTAGTAGTAGTAGTAGTAGTAGTAGTAGTAGTAGTAGTAGTAGTAAAGTAGAAGCCAGAAAGTTGGAATATGATTATCCTGACCCTTCTATGGTAAATTATAGGGTATCCTACCTTGAAACCATATTCCAACTTTCTGGAGTTCCCTGTAGTAGTAATAGTAGTCGTAGCAGTAGAAGTAGAAGTAGCAGAAGTAGCGCAGTCTTTAGATCTATAGTGCCAGAACGGCATAGAAAATTAATAGAACTTACACATATTCAAGGAGATCAGGGGCAGGAGTTCAGTTTATAGTCTTTAGGTTGACAAAATCACATCCAGCTTTCTGCATCAGGCGTTGGGCCTTCGTACAGACTCCGACAGGATCGCTTGCGGAAGGAAACGCATCGGGTCACCTCTAATCACGATCCAAGCACACAAGTGCTACCTAATGGAGAGACTTCATCCTCGTATAGACTGCAACCTCTAAACCAGGCCTGGCTCCTTGTCGCCAGGTATGAAAAACTGTCTCGGAAGCTGCCCACATTTGGCACCACCCGAGTACCAACAAGAACCGCCGGTGGAGCATCCACCAGGAGAGCATCCATCTGCAGAGCATCCACCTGCAGAGCAAGCACCGCCAGAGCAGGCACCGCCAGAGCAGGCACCGCCAGAGCAAGCACCGGCCATGGAGCAACCACCACCGGCCATGGAGCAACCACCACCGGCCATGGAGCAACCGCCACCGGCCATGGAGCAACCGCCACCGGCCATGGAGCAACCGCCACCGGCCATGGAGCAACCGCCACCGGCCATGGAGCAACCGCCACCGGCCATGGAGCAACCACCACAGCCCACGCAGCAACCACCGGTGCAGGAACTACCGGTGGTCGATGAGGTGGGATGGGTTTTGTGAAGTTTTGTGAGTTTTGTGGCTAGTTGGCAGATGGTTGGGTTTCGGCGGGCTCGGTTAGCGTTTTTTGCTTACAAGAGTGTTTTGTAGGGATGTACATGCTGATGAAGATTGCTTCGCTTTCGAAACCAGTCGTGTTGTGAAAACCTAGCAAAGGCTGTGGACACGTCCGGACATTACCTTGACAGAAGGCTAAGGTCAGAGTACGCCGGATTTCAGCGTTCATGCTGTCAACCATTGTTTCGGCTTAGACGACGCAGCCTGATTAGCAAACAACTCCTGCCAGAATTAGGATTCGTTTAATGAATATGGGGATCAGACTGGTGAGACCCCTGCCCTAACCAGGGACCCTGTCCCTGACTGGCAGTAGGCTCCAGCATGGCAAGCCGGCATGCCAGTGGCACGTTTCAACAGCGTTAGCGTTGCAACCCGGCTCTGCCGGCTTGCGCCACTGAACGCAAGAATCTACCAGGGGTGGCACGCAACAACGACAGCGTCTATGAAAGGGCATCTAGCTGCACTTTTGGTTGCATTCACAGGCGCAAGAGGGTTTAATGGGCACCATACGAACCAGGACTCCCGTCGATCTCTAGAAACTTAACCGCCCGGATCCGGAGGCTCCTGCTCCCCGACACCAGCTAAAGTACCCCTGATTAACACAATCATGTTGGTCAACAACAGTGTTAGTGAGTGAGGGATGTAGGGGTATCGAGTTTAGTTCAGATCCCTGTTATGATCCGTTTTAAGACTTGGCCTCTTAGCATGTAGTTTCAAGTCCAGTACTGACTTGGTGGACCAAAAACATCTACGGCCGATATAATTGAACAGCTTCCTCAGCCTTTTTACCAGTCTGCACTCAGCAGGTTTGCGAGAATGGAGTGTGCCCAGGCGGTGGCGCCCGTGTAAATTCAGAGTCCAAGATTAGAAATCCCTCAATGGCCCGAAAACCTAAACTGCAGGGACGGCGCTTTGAACCCCAAACCGTTTTCGGGTGTTTGATGTGGGGGGATTGGAGCGTAGGGTTCACGGGTCCCAGGGTTTGTGGCTGCAGTGGGTTTTCGTGTCCGATGATCAGTCTCAAGGAAATGGGATTGTCTGGTTCCGAAGCCCAAGTCCCGCCCGCTTTCGCGTTTGTGATGGAGCCGGGGCTGTGGCTGTGGCTTGGGGCTTTAGTTTTAGTGTTAAAGGGTTGGGATGCATGTCGGGCCAGAGGCTTTTACTGAACCAAGTTTCGAACATGCGACTCAAGATGTCTGCGCTATCTAAGCATATGGAGATTCCTTAATTCCTGAAGTTAAGCATGAGACACTGGACCATCGACCCTAAGGAAAATGAGCCCCTAAACAGCCACGGAGCACAAGTCCGTACAAACGCTTTCAGACCCGTCGTAGAGCCCTTACCACACCCTCGTTTCACATCCAACCCCTCTGCAATTTAGCTGGTCTTGAGATGGCGTCGTACCACTGTTCCGTTCCGTACGTTCGAAGCGTCTTGCATGCTAATGTCGCGAGGTTAAGTCGTGCAAGATCCAGCTTCTTTTGCCATTTCAGCACGAGCTTGGACTGAGGGATGGGGTTCCTTAAGCTGTAAATGCTGAACTCCTTTGCAGGAGCAGTCGTAAGGGGCTCGTGTCTTCCTTACTGTATCAGGGGCTGTTACTTAAAGGGATCTGCCCCCAACAGTTGGGCTAGTGCGATTAGTATTATCATCATTAATACTACGATTTTAAGTATCACTAGTATTATTATTCCGATGATTAGTATTGCTATTAGTAGTCTTTCGATCCTGCAAACCTGCAGTCGAAGGCGGCGGAGAGCTCCCACCAGTGGTGCAGCAGGCCGACACTTTGAACATCCTCGAAGTAAGTAGTATGGTATAATTCGGTATAATGTACCCCCGAAACCCCGCTGAAGTCTTTGATCGAGGTTTCCCGGACTAGGGTTCTTTGGTGCTTCAGGGTTCAGGGTCAAAGGTGAGACCAATTGCAACCCGGTGCCCTAGGCTAGGCTGAAGCTCCACAAACAGCGAAAGCTTCAAGCCAAATCTGTAAACAGCGATCCTTACAGGAACCCTTCAAAGGAACCCTTTCAGGGTTTCGAGGTTTAGGCTATATTTGGATAAGTTTAGTGCACATGTGCATTCCAGGTACCGCAAGTCGACAGTCGTGAATGTTTAGTTGAGAGTGAAGACTGGGAACCGTGGAATGTTTGAACCCTAAAACCCAACCTCAACCTCCAGACCCTGGACCTCTAGAGCCTAACATCCCCGGCCTCTCGACTTGAAATCGAATCCCTTAACTCCCTAACCCTGGACCTCCCAACCCCGAAGCACGAAGCCCCCCTGACCTGCAAGCTTTGAACCTTTTCACTCCCAAACTCTGCAACTCTAATCGAAACCCCAAACTCCTTGGTCCCTAAGCTGCCACGAATCCTTGGAGGTGCATCCAACGCCAGAGGGCAAGAAGGAGCTTTAGGGTTAGGGTTCAGAGTGTCGGGTTCGGGGTTGGGTCTTAGCATAGAAAAGTTGGGAACAGGGTTTTCAGAGGTTTAGGCTTTTGGTGTAGAAGGATTGAAGGTTGAAGGTGCTTGGCTACTGACGACGCAGACTTTAGATTTGGGATCATTGCTTCCAGGTTCATCGCAGTTAGAGCGCTTGAGCCTGGAAACTCCAAGCTTAAGACATACAGAAACGCTAGGTGCACTGAATCGCCCAGGAAACTAGAGCTTGGATCAAGGAGCCCGGCGCATTCAATTAGACGAGGCCAAGTCATGTTGTAACCCCCAAAGCCTCAACGCTAAAACCCAAAGCCTAAACTTCAAACCCTAGTACGCCCTCAACTCGTCATGTTTGTTAGGAACCAAACCAATGCCCCCCAAGCCCTAACAGCCAGCAGCCGGATCTTCAAGATCCTGGCCTTATGGCAGCACCCACGTAGCAACCCCAAGCATCCTGTTGATCCCGTACTCACCCTACACTGATACCACCCTAAGCCAGCTCTATGATTGGTTCTAAGGCAGGGCTAGTTACAAACGGCTTAGAATATTATGAGATCGACAAAAAACCATCCGCCTCCCCATCGTTTCTCATCCTCACCTTCGCAGTCCTGGCATCCAGGATGCCCCTGCGCCTTCTCCAGACCCTTCCTGCTACACTCCTTTGATGGACAAGCGAGTGGCACGGGCCCCTGAGATTCTTTGTGTGTGTGTGTGTGTTAATGCGGGCAGGCGTTGCCGAGGCTCATACGTGCAAGCTGCCAAGTGTTTCTGCAATCTATCGGTGTGAGCATGCTTGCACCCGGTTCTAATTACAAGGTTTGATCTGTTTCCGACAAACTTCGCAGTCGGTTCCGTAAACAATGCTCAAGGATATCTCAGTGAACGGACAGGATGGTGCCGGCGCAACTGCCTCAACACAACATGTCTTAGATAGCTGAGCCAAAGATCCTAGGATCCTCCAGTGGACTCCAGCCATACGGCCTGCTTTCCTCAGGATTTCCGAAGTTGCCTCGTTTCAAAGGACCCTTGTGTGGAACGTCGGCAACGACAGTCCCTCGCTTTGCTTTCCGCGCAGACAGAATGATGATGACGCTCTTGTGTGTTATATTTCATGAAGCAGTGTCATGTGTTGTCTTGGCGTCACCGAGCCGCACCATTGCATCATGTCGCTTCCACTCAGAGCCTCCTCTGTACAAGTTCAACTTACTGAACCCTAGCATCCCATGCATCCCAAACATGGGAAGCCCTTCGACCCTGAACCCATCTGAGGTGTTGGCCCTGCACAGTGTCTTTTCGTCGTTGGGTGCTGGCGCACTGGCCCTCCTAGGCAGGGCGCAGGGTTTAGATCCTAAGTTGTCATTCTCAGTTTAGGGCTTGCCGTCAAAACAAATCGTGCAACAGAGTCCATTGATCATGGTTTTAGCGGCAAGGAGGTTGAGGGGTTCCTGTTTGAGCAACAGAATTTTGCCAGGCAGTATGACTGTGCTCGTAGTACTTTTAACTTCTGTAACTGCTTGTGCCGCTACAACCGTCATAACTGTTGCTGCTGCTCCTCCTCCTCCTCTCGTAAAGTTGTAGCAATGTTGGCACCTGCAGTCACGGTGCTGGTGGTACTGGCATAGTGGTGGGTTGTTTTTGTCATATCGTCGAAGCAGTGGTGCCATCAGTTTGATCGCTAGGTTTTGTTTAAGTTAGACGGGTCAGGGCTCCTTCCGAAATCTTGAAAGCCATCCCTCGTCACTGTGGTGTGCTTCGTTGCAGTCTAGTGAAGTAATGGTCCGCGTTAGTGACCCCGGAACGGTTAACTCCTAGCCGTGAGCCCTAAGCCCCTAAGCCTTGTGTCGAAAGAGAAAATTGCCCCCCAAGAAAGCAAACTGGTACCCAAATCCCCCAAAATTCGAACCCTAAGCCCTAAGCCCCAAGTCTTCAGCACCATATGTGCATGAAGTCCTGCGCACCAAACTGGGGATAGTGTCTCCAACCTGTCCTTGCAAAGGCTAGCAGCCAAGGAAGCCCAAAAGACGGACTTGGGTTTGGGGTTTACGGTTTAGCGGGTGTGTAGAGGGTTTCCCAAAAATGCTACACGGATGTTGCAGCTGGAAATTGCCCCAAGATTAGAAGCTGCTGCTAGCCCAGCAACGCAAAGTTGCTTTCAACTGCAGCTTCGCACGAAATCCCGCAGCAATTCGGCTCAGCTTGAGGAAGAGGTCCATTGCTCGTTTGGGGCAGCTTAGTACATGAGAGCCTTTGCAGAGCTGTCATGTCATGCCAACATCTTTGGAGTTCATGAAGAGGATAAGGAGCCTAATCAGAACAAGAGATCTCAGCCGAGACCAGCGACGAACCCCGTAACAGAAGGGCTAAATCCTGGCTGAGCTGGCAGAGCCAGTGGTTAGCATTTGCCGCATCATCTCAGCTCCGCTGAGTTGCGGCCATGGGGAAGTCCAAGTTCAACAAGCACCTAGGCAGAACCCTAAGCTCTTAAGCCACCCGGACTTATGATTCGTACCTATTTTGTAAGGTTCGACGTTGGCGCCCTGAAACATGTTTTGACACTTCGGGCTTCGAGGTGTCGGCTGTTTGGGATTCAGGGCTTGGTGCTGGTGGCCACAGCACGAAGCCGAAATTCGTCCTAGATTGTCCTTCATTCTAAGACACTAAGTCACAGAGGCTTGAACCGCAAGCCCTTAAACACTAAACTCAAAACCCCGAGAAAGTGAAAGCCTAAGCCCTGTATAAAGCCTGCGTCCGAATCCCATCATGATGTAGCTGTTTCCGAATTCTCCCCTGAGGTATCGATCTATTGAGATAGTCGGGTGTTTCTCAGCAGTTTGCCAAACTTCGCAGTCCCCAATTCGATCCTTTTGTAGGACTCAGGTTCGATAGCTGTTGAGGGTTTGATCCCCAAAATCACTTCAAGACCTGCGCCTGTACCTGCTAGAGGGAAGAGCCCAGTACACCACTGAGACTTCCGTGAAATATACACTTCCATGCAGCAGCCGTATGAACAGCCAGAAGGCTTGAAATTTCTTTGTGGCCGTAAATTCTAAGCCCTACGCGGAACCCTAATCTAAGGAAGCCACGTAAGCAGGAGTTTCTGACTTCATTTGACGCGAGTTTCCCACAAGGGTACGCCCACGAAGGCCGCACATATTTGATGGTAACGGTGCAAATGACGGTAAGAATGACAGGGATAATGGTCGCAACACTTGTTATACCAGAGCAAGCCTAAGAGAAAGCACACCAGTAATACTAGCAATAGTTAGGAACAGCAAAGATAGCATTTTGAAAGTTGTGGTTGTGATAACAGTATGTATAGTAATAGTAGAAATAAGCATAATGACGGTCAACATATTTACAGTAACTAATCAAAGCTACAGGAAGTCGTTCTCATTGTTCTACTCATCATACTAGTATCAAGAGGAAGAATGAGAGAATTAATAAACTAAAAGTAAGAAAAAAGAAGAGCAATAGACACTGTAATAGCAACAACACCAACAAACACAAAGTAATAAAAGCACTATGTAAAATAGTATTTAATAGTAATCACAACAAAACTAGCATCAAGAATTGTATAGATAAAACTATACTGTGAGGTTACGGTTACTCTCGTTTTAGAGCCCGTACTAGTTAATACAGTAATGTCCCAGCATGTTCACTGCATGAGCTTTACTGTGGCAGATGCCGCAACACCTGAGCTTCCTACAAAGGCCAGCACAAGCTCAACAACCCTTCAAAGCGCTGCGAGCACTCTCTGCAACTCAACAAAGTTGAGGGCTTTAGCACTGGGCTTAATTAGGGTGGTCTAGAACCTGTGATTTTGCAGAGTCCCTAGCTCTTGTGTATCAGTGTTTATGTCACGAACGTAGCCCTGGCCTCCCTCCGCAGAAAGTGCGCCAAGGATGGCATGTGCCAATGTGTTCTCCTCTGATCCGCAGCCACAAGCCGACCTGACGTGCCTCAACTGAGCGAGGGCTGAGGGTTCTAGGGCTCGAGGTTCGGAATTTCGGTGCATAGGGCTTAAGGTTCAGGTTTGTCGGGCACAGTGTTTGAGGCCCAGGGATGGGGACGTGGGGACATCGAGGGCTCGCTTGGGCGGCTGCAGGGCTTGGGGGCAAAGCCTCGCAGCGCTGTAACCCTAGAAGCCATTAAAGCCTCAAGAATCTGTGTCGAAGCCCCTAAACCGATCATAAACCCGTTGAGCCGCAGAGTCCTCAACCCTTGGAGGGCTTGGGATCAAATGTGCTGGGGATTGCTTAGGATCAGGGCTTTCCTCACCCAGGGCAGGTGGGCCCTGGAGGACGGGAAGGTTGTGAGTGCTAGCAAAGACCATTACATCATGATATCATTAGTTAACAAGAAACATAGACACACTCGTGGTAGTTAACGTACCAAGAGATCAGAACAATCACAACAATAATGCTTGTAATAGCGAAGGTGGCATCAACTCATAATATATGCATATGTCTATATATATATATATACACGCACATGTATGTGTCTGTGTGTACCGGTCCCACGCCCGTATCTATCAAGCCCTGGTGATCATAAACTACAAGCAGCCCAACGAAACCCAAGCCCGGAGCAAGAAAGCCATTATGAACTTCCAAGACCCCAATACCAAACTCCAAACCCCAGTATTTGGGCTAGAACCTCTCAAAAAAACTGTAGACTGACGATTTTTATTGTAGACGCTCAAACCTTGCCCCTCCAACAAAGCCGAACAAGCTGAGGGCCACCTGTAGTGGCTTCAAGGAAGGCGGGGTGTTGGATGAAAGACTCTTCAGTGCAAGATGCCGGCTCCTATGTTTTTAGTTTGAGTTTGGGTCCCTAGGCCCTAAACCCTCAACCCTGAGGTGAACATAGAATGTAAAGAGCGATGCTGAACGATCCAATGCCACGATGACATTCTAGGTTTGGTTCAGAATACATGTGGGATCCTGGGTTCGGCCACAGATACTGAGATCCTTACTGCCCATGGAATCGCACAACCCCCTCACCCCCCCCCCCTCAAGGTTTCCATGGCATGAGGTTTCTTATCTGGGCGCTTCGGGATTTCCGAAGCCTCGAACCCGAAAGCCTGAATTCTGAGTTCGGAATCCCAGGCCTTGAACGTTACTATCGTTCTTGGTATTGTTATTAGTCCATGATTATCATTATTGTTAGTACCACTACAACTACCACTACGACGACAACGCCTGATACTACTTCTCCTGCTACTGTCGTTAGTATGATTACGATTATTGCTATTTCTTCTGTCATTGTCGATACTTCTTCTGTTATGTCCATCGTTAGTTTCCACGCTGACTACTGTTATTTCTCCCTGAACCTCAGGCCACACGATTTTCGTAGGGCCGGCTCGCCAATCCCGTCAGGCTCAGAGCGCGCTGAGGACGTGCACAGCACCGATACAGGCATGGGATAGGGGCAGGATGTTGTTTGGAGCGATGGGTTTGGGGATTTGGGGTGTGGGGATCTTCTGATGCTTCGCCATGACTATGCCTTTGCTGGTCCACATCTACAGATATGCACATCTACAGGTTAACACCAACGCATCTTCAGCTGCAGAGACTTCTCAAAGAAGGTTAGCAGGCGCCGTCGGGGTCTTGGCTAGAAGAGGACTCAGGCCACCCGGAGCCTTGAATCCACCAGAGCTCGCCAGAGTCCTGAATCCTCAAAGGCTAAGGACGGGTTTGATTTGGGGAGAAGAGCTGGGGTTCAGGGCTTATTGTTTACGATTAGCTACAGCGATCCCTTGCAGAGTCCTTTTCATTTGTGCCCGAGCTTGTTTGTGTAGGGTTGAAGCTTAAACTCATTCCAGAACGCGTTCTCCATCTTCTATGTGCTTTTCGTAAGGGTCTAGGAACTACGAACGATCAGAAAAACAAGACTACCCCATCGTGGTTGAAGTATACATTGGAAGAGAGATTAGGGTGTAGGGCAATGGCAGTCTCCGATTTTGTCTCCGAGAACGTATTCCATGAGTTGTTCCTTTGGGGGTATGTTGCTACACTAGGGATGCACTCATCAGCATGCATCGGCATCCCACGGTTCCCGGTGCAGGTGCAGTATTCGGGGCACATGCCCCTGGTCAGTGGGAGGAGAAGCCAAGAGGCCCGGAGACCTGGGACAAATCTGAACTTTCAGGCAGCAAACCTTAAGTTAAATAAGCCCCCAATCCCCAAGGCCCTGAAGCCCCAAAACCTAATCAAGCCTTATGCCCAAACCCGCGACCTCAGCCAAACTGTGATACGAACCCGCGATGAATCATTTACTCTGAACCCTATACATTGCAGTCTCAGCTGTACACTATTGTAGACCCTATATGAGAGCCTAAGGGCTGAAGGGCTGTTTCTCGAGGGTACCTTTCGTTTGTAATGCCTACGTGGTCTGCATAGAGATTGTATCCGGGTACCTAAAGCCTATACCGAGCTTCAAAGGGGGCCGCAGAATTTGGACGAGCACGTTTTGAGGAAATGCCCGGTTTACTGTCCGGGCTTTTTGGGTTTCTATCTGATAGCCTTTCCGGCCTCAGAGGCCTGGGCCTCGTCCCAACGCCCCAGACCCTGCACTGCGAATCTTCATAAACAAAATCTTGAACGTACGGGCGGCAAGAGAGGGATGGATTCTCCCGAACAGTTACGAGGTAAGGCTGCCGTTCGTCCTGACAAGAGATAGGACCTTTGAGATACCCAGGGCCGGGTTTCGTCGTTTCATTTCATGGCTTGCGGCGCATCGTGTCTGAATGCGGAGCCGGCTCGACCGGACGAAGGCCTGACGCAGACATCTACTACAACCCAAGACCCACAGCCCTCATCCTGAACCTCCAAACCCGGAACGGTTTAGCATCTGCGTTTCAGATGCTACTGCTAAGCCCTGAATCCAATGCCTCCCTGGCCTCGCTGGACATTGGGCCAGGTCAACTCCCACTCGAAGCAACCACCTCCATGTCCTGCCACCCCCTCGGGACGACCTTCAAAGCTGAACCCAACTCGTAGGCCACAGCCCAACCATGCTCCAACAGAGCAGGTGATACGGAGACAATGGAGCCCGCAGAGACAGGCTGGGATGGGTTGCTGTCGAGCTTTCGAGGGCTTTCCGAGCATGGCATTGCGGACCTCCTCCAGAACTGTTCTGGCTTTTGCGATAAGGGTTCCTACACCGGGCATTGTTTGACAGTTCGGCGTGCATAAGCTGCCATGCAAAATTTAACTGGTTCACTTGGATGATTGTGACCGTGTTGATGATCATCCTGGTGAAAGCACTAATGTTGCTCTTCGTGCGGTAACAACGGTTGATGCAACTCGTTCTATGCTTGTTGACTAAATGATGAAGTCTTATCTCATTGCTATGTCTTCTGAGTTCCTTCCTGCACTCTTCTCAGTCATGATTGTTACATACTTCTTGCCGAGCTTTGTTTTTGAACCCTGAACCTAAACCGTGAGCCATAAACCCTATACATCCTTGCAGGTGTTCCGTAGTGGTTCTGTTTGATGCTTGTCGGCCCTCTCGGCACCCTTCCCAGAAACAAATTCAGTACAACATATATCGCCACGGGTGTCAGATTTTGGGAAGCTCTCCCCCACCTCCCAAAATCTATGCATTGCCAGTTTCAGCTCTTCGTTCGGCACAAATTGCGGTCAATAGAAGACTTTTCAGCATCTGTATAAGGATCGCCTTAGGGTGCCAAACATGGCTTATACTACAAGATATCCCGGAAGCCTGTCCTATGAAGGCCCGCACAGTATGGTGCTAGGGTATAGAGCGCTTTGTTTACAGCAAGCAGATCCCGAGGCCTTTGCAAAGAATCGGAGCTCCAGAAGAAGCTCAGGAAGAAGCCCTTAGGTATCCGAGATTCCTCAGTCAGAACCGGCTTAAGTTCTAGGAAAACAATAACCTCTACAAAGTTTAAGGCATGTGCTCTAACCAACGCACAGAAAAACCCTGCATTCCAAAACAACTTCCGAGAAACCCGGACAGGATCGTCGCTGAGCCCGGCAAGTCAGTGGACTGAATCCGGACAACGAGGCCTTGCCTTCGTTGGCATTTTGATGTATGCTTACCCTTGAAAAACCTCAACCCTAAATCCTAAACACTACCTGAACTTTTGAACCCGCAACCCTAAACACTGACACTTACACTCGGAACGTTGGGTGTCGTCATTGCGATTTCGTGAAGATGAAGGTTTATCCTCACTTTTGCAGCAGCACGGTCTTCGACAATCATGCGTCGGAAGAGTACAATCTTCACTTTGTGTACCGGCTGTGCTAGTGACGGCCTCGAGGCCATGTGATAATCTGGTTGTTTTGTAGCATACATCAACACAAGACCCTGGCCCACCTCTGACTGTATTCAAGCCTCCAAAGAACTCTCCCGGACGATATGAAGAAGCCACAGCGAAACTGAAGCTTCATACGAGAACACACAGAGCCCTAAACCCGAATGTGCATCGCGGACTCTTCAAGGCCCACGATGTTGGCCGATGTTCCCTTGCCTAGTCTGACTGAAACAGCTACTCGATTGTCGTTGCTTCATCGCTACGGGGCCTCAGCTACTGCAGACGAAGATTGCATCAGCTCATAGTGTTCGGGCATTCACTAAAGCAATCCGGGAGCGACAAAACCCCTCAACCCCAAGCCTCTTCCCGCACTTCTCCGAAACGAGGTGAATAGACTTCGCAGGCAAAGTCAAGTCTACTCATATTTTTCCAGAATGCCCTCCAGGCCCTGGAATTCTGAAGCCCAGCACCTGTCTTTCCAGGTGATTCAGATGGCAACCTAGAAGCGATCCTTTTGAGTGTGCGGCCCAGGTTAAGAGGGGGATTTCGTCGTGGTCCTTGAGTTTCAGTTGGGTCTTCATGGCCTCATTCAGAGTGCAGTCTTAGGGGTTCAGGGTTGTGTTCGGATTCCCCTGCAGATCAAGTGCGGGCCGGACAGCCAGTAGGCCCCATCAGGTTTCACTGCTTGTTATTGCTGGCCTTATCGGCACTCTCCATAGCATCAGTCAGTAGTATAGTAAATATTTGTGGCATTCTGTTAAACCTCAAGGATCTCAAGCCCTTCCCCTGAAACCCAAAACTGTACGGCGATGTGGAACCTTGCTTTCAGGTCTCTTGCGCCAGTCAGAGATGGAGGAGTCCCTGGCCGAGAAGGGAAGCACGGAGGCTGGGCTTTACGGTCTATAGGGCCTTTGGGGAACCGGCATTCAAGGTCGTTGCTGGTGGTTATGCATGCAGATCAGAGAGCAAAAATTCTGCGGTCTTGAAGACTTGAGGCGGAAACCTTGGTCCTTTCAGCCATCGCCGAAAGCACTACACCCTAAACACTCAATGCCTGAACCCCGTCCTTAACTCCTCGACGATTTCACCTGAAATTCTTGCCTGAAGCATTTATCCTTCAAACCTTTACCCTGAAGCCCTGTTCCACCAAACCCTAACCTAAACCCCCAAACTCCTAAACGCTGAACTTAGGCTCGCATCCTTGAACCTGAAACCCTAAAACTCTCACCCCGAAGCTCGAGCCTATAAACCCTAAACCCCAAAGTCAATTGTTTTGCAGCTCATTCTCGTGCTCCGTATGTTCAGATGTTCAAGCTCCAAGAAGCTTTTTGGATCCGCAGGCCAACGAAGCACCCACGCGGGCTTCGACGGACCCTGGAATGTTCGGGGCGTTGGTGCAAAATCACGAAAGGGAAGCATCTGGAGCCATACGGTCATATAATCATATAGTGTTCATGTATCTTCACATATTTGGTAATGTAAGGCAATGCTGTATGTATGTAGACAGAACTGAGAGGCTTTGAACAGCTCTCGAACGTGGGTTACGAACTCCTATTTACACCTCCGGTCGAAACCTCTCCCCACCAATCTACATGCCTAGCTTACCCTGGAAAGCTCTAAACATCCGGCTTGAAGCCGCGAAGAGTTGAACTTCTCGGGTTCACACCCACAGGCTGTGATCTCAAGACCATGGGTGTTTAAGAGGCCAAGCCGACATGTGGAAAGCCGCAAGCCCTAATAAGCTGCTAGGATCCCTTGGCTTAAAGTTTGAAGAAGGAGCTCTCACTTTCGTCGCCAGCTGGTTTGGTTCTAAAGGCTGTTATAGCTACATCCCAGGCTCCCACAATTTTTTGTGATATCTTTTGTGGGTTAGGAATGCTAAGGGTCCTTGTCCTAGTTTTCGAGACAATGGCTGCAGATCTATGTTCCTGTTCAGGCTGAGGTCACCAGGGAGTCTCTTGCTTGAGGCTTCCAAGGGAATTCCAGGTTCAGGGCCCAATGCGTCACCCCATCAACCCTAGCACCAACCCTTTAAAGCCCCCAACCCTAAACGCTAAATCCCTGAACCCCGAAGCCCTGAATCCTTGAACCGCGTATAAGGGGAGCCTGCAGGACGCAGCAGAAATTGAGATGGATTCATCACCAGAGCCCGACAGCAAGGAGGATGCCAAGGGCTGAAGGGCCTTGATGCTTAAAGTTTTGGAGCATTCAGACCCCGAATCCAAACATTCCCGTGACCTTAGACTGGTCCGCGATTTACGCAAGTGCATTCAGTTGCAAAGCTTCGTGCTTCAATTGATCCTAAAGCTCCAGCCTGCATGCATGACCTGGCCCTAGCACGGCTTGCTGCCCCTGCTTTCATGTTGGGTGTAGGGCACACAGATATTTTACTCCGAATAGGAGGCTCGACTATATGGGAGACGGACAAGTTTGCATCTGGACTAGCCCACAGTCACAGAACATAATCCTGCTGCAGCATCCTGACCAGCTCCAGGCCCAGCCGAAAGATCATGTCGAATCCCGGCAAGGGTACGCAACAGGGGTATATACTCGGCCCTAAAGTACGGTACCGCTCCAGGAACAAGATTACGGCTTCAGTATGTGCAGTATAGGCACATGGAATCTTAGGGTTGGACCCGGCACAAGATCTTTCGAGCGAAGCCTTATCGACTTTTGTCAGTATTATACACCCATACACGATTGAGATTTAGCTGCGTGGGACGCAAGCCCATGGTGACTTGGACAAGAGCTTGGCACACAGGCACAACAAGCAAGAACAATCAGCACTCAGACCGGACGAAGAGCAGAAATAGTCCGCACTGAAAATCACAGGAACAGGACAAAGCTAGAGAACGAGAACATGAGCACGCTGCAGTTCCAGAGCTCTCTCTCTCTCTCTCTCTCTCTGTGGGTTTGCACATATTTGGTGTAGTATGTATACCCATGTGCATGTGTATGTGTATATATATATATATATATATATATGTGTATCTGTGCTCTATGTACATGTGGCACCCTCACCGCCCTCACCTGTTTTTCTGCATTGAGAAGTTCGGATCTCGGTGAAAGTCGTAGAGGACCTTTGTGGTGTGTTCTTGGGTTGTCGGGTGTTGCGCATGCAGACATGATTTCAATGAGGCGTCAGTGCTGAGAGAGGAGCAACCCTGAGTCGAACGGCAAAGGTGTATTGCAGATTTCTGACGTGTATTATCTCGTGTTGGAGTTCAGAGAATACTTAAAAGACAAGCAGGAGAAAGAATCTAGTCTAGAGAAGGCAGCACGTCTGAGATTTGATTTTCCGAAGCAAGCATGTGCTAGAAACAACAGAATTGAGACGTGATTTTTCTAGACATAGACGTAGGAACGTTGAAAACCAGAAGTCTGGAACCCCCGAGATCATCTGAAGCCCTGTAGGACTTCGAGGAGGACGAGGAGGAGGAGGTTGAGCAGGAGGAGCCTTACAGTCCAGAGTTTGATCCGGACTCTGGCTTTGAGGCGCCGAAGCTCTGTCTGCGGGAGGTTTCAAGGACGCGGGAGTAAGCTTGACTCTGAGATTCCAATCTCTCAACAGAAGCCCTGGATCTTGAATCCCAGCCGTCCTAGGCCTTCAAGCCCAGCCTGTCAGGCCTTAATCGTAACCCTGGGAGCCTTAACAGCATAAAGGTTTAAGGACAGGATTGATGGGGTCTTGGAAGGTGGCCTTACGTTGAGGATTTGTTTCAACTTCAAAACCGATGATGAGGCCGTACAGAAAATGTTCTGCAGGTCGCCTTCCAGGCAGGTGCGGCCCCGCCAACGCTGCCTTTTGCCAACGTTGGACCCGAAGCGCCTAAACTGCCCGTGTTTCGATGTGGGCTTTAAGGTTTATGGTACCTGGACTTATTGTGTGGGCTTCGGGGGCTAGTTTTCGTGGTTTGTGTTTCAGATGGCTTGAAGGATTCAAGGGTTTTGAGGGCTCAAGGGTTTCAAGGTTCAGCGGGCTTGAGGCTTCAAGGGCCGAAGGTCGTCAGTTTAGGCTTTCTCAGAGTTACTTGGCGCATGAAGCATTAGGGGATGCAGGGTGTAAGTAAGGCTTGAAGTATCTCCGCCCTTGCAGTGAGTGAGGCTTCTACGGTCTTCAGCTGTTCAAGGGCTTCAGGATTTACTTTGAGAGTTGAGGGTTTGCAATTGACGGCTTAAGTGTTCGGGACCAGAAAGACTCTCTCCAAACCCTCAGCTGAAGCCCGTGGCCTCACACTCACATCATCCCAAAGTCTGCAACATCGAGGCCGGCAGACTTAGCAACAGTCCCTAGAAGTACTATTCCCATATAATCTACCTAGGCCCCATCAAACCGCATTCGTGAGCGAACTGAGGAGTCGGAGCTTTCTTTTGGCATCGAGTCTCTGCCCATGGTCGAGCAGTCAGCGCCCGGTCTCAGCAAGGGGATGCCTGGAACTGTTGAGGGTTCAGACGTGTATTTTAGAAGAAGGGGTTTGTGGTTTGCAAGCCTGTTGCAAAAAGGGTTCAGTCTTTAGGGTTCAGAGGCTGGGGTATCCTAGATTAGGTGGTGCGTGGACTTTCCGCCTTATCGTTCCCGGACACTGCGCTGACCCAATGGATATTCTCGATGCGCCAACCCCTAAACCCTAAACTCCAAACCATAAAACATAGAGGCAAAGATACCGAAGCGACAGACCCAATCTGCAGGGGCTTTGGAGATGGGGCATGGGATTTCGGGTTTGGGTTCACTGGCATTTTCCCGTGTGTTGCAGGTTTCGGCTGTTGGCCCTGCGACCGAGAGAGACAGACTAGAACTGTCAGATACTGCAACGAACAGGTTTCCACATGTGTATACATACACATGTATACATGCATACACGTGTACATGTGTGTATATATATATATACAGACAGGGCGAGAGGCTATGTCAATGTTTCTACACCGAAGTATTCGTCTTCTGTGCTGCATACAAACTTGCACTTGCAGCAGTACTTCCAAGAGAGGGTTTCATAAGCAGCCGATGCTTCCATATAAGCCGATGTCTTATGGTTTTGCGGTTCGAGGCTCGGGCAGTTAATCAATCGAGGTCTACGCTTTGCAGCCGGCGCAGAGCACTCCGCCATCCATGCCGCAGCTCACGCCGCACTCAAGCCTTTCAAGCAAGCCCGAGTGCCGCAAACTCAAGAACTCGAAGTCCGAAGTCCATCATTGAACTCTCCGAAGCGGGTATTTCCAAAGATGTTACTTCCGAAAATCGGTCAGCTCAAGACTCAAGAGAACCACCCCCAAGAGAACCACCCCACAGCTTCACACTCTCTGGCCCTGAGATGTTAAGCCACTGACCCCTACTCTCCAAAACCTAATCTAGTTCAGACACGCAGTGTTCCGCGAAGAGTGGCAACGGAACTGTTCCGGTCTGCGCACTTGCCAGCAGATGACTTCCTTGCTCATGCCGATGATTGGCATTGCGTACCCTGACAACCCAACTAGCCCAAATCAGACAACATATCTAGAGGCTTCAGACCCGAACTAGGTGCCATTCATACATAGTTGGAGCTTTTGGATGAGGGGACAGACGAGCGCACACGCACATAGCACGTATAGCCCGCATGTTTGTGCCAGGACTATCGCCTCTCTTGTCCCTTTATCGGTATACCATGATATGCACGCCTTAAACTATTCCGATCATGAAGGCCGCCCCCTAATGAGCCCGCAGAGGAAGCAAAAGGCTCCCTGAAACGATGCCTACAATTTTCATAGGGATCCTTAGGGGTGTAGGGGGAGGGGGGGTAGGGGGCCTTAAGGCCCATAATAAGGACTAATAAGGCCTGTTTAAGGAAATATAGTCCCCTACACCCCTCCCCCCTACACCCCTAAGGATCCCTATGAAATTTTCCTTGAACCCCCGAGCCCCTGGCGCCTGTGAGCTCTAAAAAGGCCGCCTCCGAGCTACCAGGCGCTGCGGGAAGGGGGTTTTTAAAGGATCATGGGACTTAGTAACTAGGGTTGTAATTAGGTAGCTATACTTATAGCTACTTATAACCCCAATTCTTAGGGCTACTTAGACAGATTTTTTAATTTTTGGTTATTTTAATCCTTAAGAAACAGCTAAAATCATAGTTTTTGCTAGGGTTCTAAGTTCAGTATAGAGTTTAAGCACTTCTAACCTTATACTTACTAAGTCCCATGATCCTCCAAGTTGGCGTCTCAAAGGTTCTTTTTGTGGGAGATCGGGGAGTAGGTGGGTGCAGGGTTTAAGGGGCCGTTGTGGGTTCGATAGTCCGGTGAGTGTGGAGGGCTTTACTGGCCTTTTTTTCTTCATGGGGCTTGCTTGAAGGAGCAGAGGACTTGGGAAGTAGGTTATACTTGGGGGCAGAAGTACTCTGATGCGGATAATCTGTCATCTAAGTCTATTTTCGAAGAGATTAAGCAGAACCCCTCAAGACATGGGAGCTTTGGATTCCCTGATTTGAGATTTAAGCGTTGGGGTTCAACATGTAGACACTCCCCTGGAAACCGAAACCAGCAAGTCGACTTAGCCACGGAATCCTTTGATCCCGGTGCAAGCCCCAAACCCCCAAGGTGTGTGTCATTGCAGTGCTTGGATTCAGCAGAATTTAGCTCCGGTAGCTCCGGCGAGTCGGTTTGATGCAAAACGCTGCGGATTTGCAACGGTACTTGTCGTCAAATGGGCTCGAACCATGATTCCCGTGCTCCCGGCACACGAAACTCTCGAAATTTCTGTTTCACAGTCGCGACACTCCTAAACCTAAACCCTAAACCTAAGCCCAGCAAAAGCATCCCCAACGCTACAAAGCCCCATCTTTCAAGCCGAAATCTTCAGGAAGAGCAACTCAGTGTCCGACAGGAACCGACTCCTGTGTTATGGTCTGAATTGCTATAAGACGGTAAGATTTGCTTAGGACTACGATGATAGGCTTACTATTTCTGTTTCGCACAGATGTTTGGGCCTTCGAATCGCTGAAGTCACGAGAGTCCCAGTCGACCTCGGGCCCGTCGTTGCCTTCCAAAGTTGGCAATCGAGCTCCCGCCGCGGTCTTGCACGTATTCAGGGTGCGCCTCGGCTTCCCGCCGCGGCTCTCTGCAGCTTTGGGTTTACTCGCACGAACTTTCGTAGCCGGAGTACTATCCCCGATGGATAAGCATGCTAGGCATGTTCAGAGTTGATGGTAGCACTGACACTGGCCACGCTAACAACAATTTTTCACGACGAAGAAAAGCCGCCCGTGGCCCGAGTCCCAAGTTTAATCCGAAGGTCGTAAACGTAACAGCCGAAACTTAAAGCTCCATGGTATGCTTGAGCTTCGAATGCTGAACGTGCAGCCGTCGCAGGCTCCTTTGCCCATGCAGCCTCTACAGTTCACCAATTGTTATTCCGGCACTCCAAGTCCCCCGGCAGAAAGATTCATTGCGCGACTACAAGGGCTGATATAATTGAGGCTACTGTTACTAGAATGACACTTACCTTCAAGTTGCAAAGGAACTTTGGGTTGAGGGTTCCGGATTCGCAGGGCTGTGGCTGTGGGGTGGGGCTTGACATTGACGGTCCTTCGTTTGTTTTGCCACTCTGCTTGCACGCGTACTTTTCTTTGGCGATTTAGTATGCTTTGCTGAGATACTTCACAGCAAAGTCAAAGCAACGATTTGTCAAGGTTTCCAGGGCTTGCATGCTTGCTCTCCAGGCGACAGCTTTCGGGGCTTTGGACGTTGACAGTCAGTTGCTTCTGGTAATCTGCGCGTTGTCGATGTCTCCCATCCGGCTACGGCACTTCAGTTTCAGTTCAGGGTCTGGTGTAGAGTCGGCAAAGCTTCGTGTACGTTTGTTTGTGGCTTGCCGCGGCTTGAGCTCGACGTAGCCTTCGGTCTGCTAGTCATATCTAGTCATCCGCTACGCGGTTTCGACTTCTACGGAGATATGTTAGGTTGACAGAATGTCGCGAAGATACCGTCGAGCAATGCGACGATCCCAATCTGTACCACAAGACTGAGGCCCATACCCCAAGCCCGGAACCTCAAACCCCAACCTCAAGCAATTTCATCGAAAGTTGCCTTGGTACAGACGAGGCTCTCGAACACAGCGATAATTCTAGAGCTCACGGTGCCGGAGATGTTGTACCTTCTGTAGTTGGTTAGTCTAATCTTCTCCATGCGCCCCGAGATTCTGCTCTGGCTATTCAGACCTGTGTCATATTTTCTTCCGAATTATATAAAGGGTTCAGGCATTTGGGCTGCTTTACCCTAATCCTTAAAGCCCAACAGCTGGTTGGTTTAGGGCTTACAGCGCTGCGATCTCCGACCCAAAGCCCTCCGAGATCGTGAACTGCCTCCAGGATACTTGTTCGGGTTGTCTAGGTTTTCTTTGGCATATCCCGTGTTGCAGTGACACCCTGGATCAAACCAGATTCGCTACAGAGTCTTAGAGGAATCTGGCCGGAAGTTTCAGACGACAGCTACAGGCTGGCCTGCTCCTGTTACGTGGCCAGGGGGTCACGCCGCGCGCCCAGTGTGGGGCATCCAGGGCTAGGGCCCAGGGTTTGAATGCTTGATGAGCAACCCGCTGTTACTGGGTTTGATTGCACGTCGGATTCCTGAGCACATGGACCCTAGTTTCGAACAGGACGGGGTGCTTCCACTTGAGACTTAGTTTTGCTTCAAAGACTTTGAACATGTTTTTCAAATCCTTGACACAAAGACGTTTACGGCAACATGAGCTTGAACTAAGGTTTGAAGGGAAAAGGGACCCTGCGCTGGTCGATTGGAGTTCGGAATTTGGACTCTTCAGAGTTTTGGAAATGGCCCGAGTGTGAACGCTCAGGGTCTAAACCTGAAGCTCTTCCATAATGAGATACTCTATCACAGTAGAGTCATCAGAGTAATATATTATACTATACCGGCATCATCGACTCTAACAGCCATAAGGCCCAATGCCAAGTGTCATAACCCACAGAAGCCCAGCTTGAAACCCGATATCCTAAAACCAAGTTTGGAAACCCTAGGTCTCGGGAGGATCCAGTTTCTGAAGGCTCTGGTACAGAGGACTTGTTCTAACCCTCGTCAGAGGCCGCACATGTTGATCCGATCCGTCAAAACCGTAGTCTTAGCTTGCAGAACTGCTCTCAGTGCCAGAGCAGCACGAGAGGTGAAAGCGCAAGTGTGGAAGCAGAATCGCCCTTTGAGTGGTTTAAGGCTTTAGGGGGCACTTCATGTCCAAATGTTGGCTCAAGACTAATTAATGAGCGTCAAAAACCAGTTCTTTCCGACGGGAGCTTACCATAATTACATCGGGAATGCTCTTTGATCTAGTGCGAACATCGAGAATTCCCGGGTAATTGCATGCTCTGTTTGGGCTTCGGGCTGACGTCCGAGAATACTACACATGTGTCCGATGCCACACAGGACGCGCTTCCAGCAAGCCCCAAACAGTCTACCGCCTCAAAAACAGAAGCCGTAAGACTTAAGAGAGACCCAGCGCCCCCTGAGGTGCGTGGGTTCAGAGTTTACGGTTTGGGGTGTCGATAGCGTTTAAGGTAGTTTGGCCCTGCCGCAAAGGAAAGCATGCAATCAGCGTCTGCACAGGCGGTTGCTTGAATGCATGTTGGTTCAGGGCCTCCGAAGGGTTTCTATGACCATGGTCACAATCCTCAAGCCCAAACTTTAGGTGCTCGTGGTTGGGGGATTTTCTCCAAGGTATCGCTTCGACTCTAAGGGTTTGTTCAACCTATATAGGATCTTTTCATTTGGGGCATCCGGCAATCACCATCGTTTCGCCGAGTGCATCACGATCGCACTAAATGATGTTTGCAGACCGCTTTTTGTCGCTCTTCGGCTCAGCCATAACTGATCGTAACTCGGCCGTTGACTTGGACGGTACCGCAAACCCCTATATCATTGGAGAAGGCATTGCAGCAAATTTCTGGACACCCTCAAGGTATGTGTCATCACGAAGAAGTCTGTTGCCAGCCCAGCGGTTCCTATTGAATTATATTGTTCCCTCTAGTCGTCCTCCACGCCAGTGGCTCCGATTTAGTGGTCGGTCTACCATTCACATAGAACCAAGCCAAACAGTTTTGTCAAGCCTTCACACGAATCGCCGAGATGCTCGGCATGAACTACCCGTCCAAAGGCCTGGCACGGGCACGAAGCCACGAGATCCCGGCACCCCAAGCGAAGTCCGGAAACGCACCGAAAGAC